TTTATTTTATAATATAAATGAATAAATCAATCAATTGAATAATTGAATAATTATTATATTTTTGAATATTTATATCTTATTTTGATGTTTATTTTATTTGTTTATTATTTTCTGTTTATTATCATATTAATATTTTATTTTAATGATGAGTATTATTTATTAATGAATTAAATAATCATTATTATTAATTAATTATCATTATTAATATATTATTTATATTTATCATATTATTTATTTTAGAGTTATTTTATATGAAAATACCATTCATTTTATATTTATTTTAAATTTTATTATTTTATTATTATTTATTTCTTATTCTTTATTATATCACTTCTTTTCTTTATTTATTGTATTTATTTTTGTTATTTTATTAATATTATCATTCTGTTATTTGTTATTTTATATTTTGTTTTATCTTTATTATTATATATTTTATTTATATTATACTATATGTTTTATTCAATTTATGTTATTTCGGGAAAAATATTTTGCATTAATAAAATAATAGTTTTTATTATTTTGCTCCTAAAAAAATAAAAAATAAAAAAAGTAAATTAAATAATCATTCTATATTCAATTATATCTGATTATATTTTATATCATTTTATGATAAATTGTTATGAAATATAAATGATTCAGAAATGATATTTGATTCAATGTATGTATTCATTTTTATTATTATGTTATTATTATATATTTATATATTTTATTATTATATTTATTTCTATTATTGTATTATATATCATCATATTATCTCTTTATTATTATATTTATCATATTTTATTAGTTTTATATTCTTATTATTTATATTTTATTTTATATATGAATACATTTTTATTTATATATAATTTCTTATATATTAATACATTTCTTTATCTTATTTTCATTTTGATTATATTTTTATATTTTATATCTTCTTTCTCTTTATATTTATTATTATTTTATTTATATTATATTGATTTTATTTATCTTTTCATTTATATATTTTATTTATTATTATATCATTTCTTTTCTCTTATTATTTCTTTATTATTTATTATTATTCATTTAATTTTTATATCTTCTATATATATTATATGAATTTATTATTTATTATTTATTACATATTACATATTATATACTAATCATATAATATCTATAGCTGACTACATAATAAACACTAATAATAAATTTACATATAAATAAAAATTATAAAAATAAATAAATAAAATAATTTGCATCAATAAATTAAACGCTTTTTTATTTCATATTTCTAATTTCTATAATAAAAAATACATCCATTATTTCATCATTCTTTTCATCTTTTATTATCTCATTTTGAATTATTCATTTTTATCTTCTTTCATTTTATATTTTCAACTTTCTACTTTTATTCTTTTCATCTTCTTCTACTTCCTAATTTCACTTTTTTCTTTTATATCATTCTTTCTCTTCCATTTTTCTCTTATTTCATTTTTTTCATAATGTTTCAATTAAATTTATGTATTTTACTAAAAGTATGAAATTAAAACAAAAATAAATGAATGTGGTATATATCTTCTTTGATTTAATTCATTTTACATTTTTATCAAATTATTCCATTCTCAATCAATAAATTTGCATTTATTTGAATTATCATACACTCTATTTTATATATATATATATATATATATATATATATATATATATATATATATATATATATTTCATTATTCTTAGTACAGCACATTATTTAATTTATATTTTTTTCTCTTTCTTTGAATTTATTTATCATTTTATATTCATTTGAACAATAATTAAGTTTAATTTATATTTACTTTTCAATTTGTCGTCTTTTATTGTTATTGAAATTTTATTATAACTGTTAAAGTGTATATTTTATCATTTATACTATTTCAACTCATATCTATTTTAGTGTTATATCAATAATTATTATTTATTTTTTCTAATTTAATACTCACTTCTATTAAATATCAAACTATTATTTACACTTTTCATGTTTTATTTGTATTTTTAATTCAAACAATATTCTTTTTTGTTTGATAATTTCATTTCAATATTTCTTATTTGTAATATAATAACTTTAGAACATAATTCAAGTTTTAAAATACTAAATAATATTTATGTGTATTTCTTTATTTATTGATAAACATCAACAGATAATGATAAATTGATGATAAACTAACGGAGTAGTTGATGAAAATAAATTACTTCAGTATGAATTTCATCAATTAACAAAGCGACATTAAAATTTAAAGAAATGAATGAGAATATAAAATGGTATTGATGAAATGAGAATAGTTAATAAGCTAAGAATGTTAAATAAGTATTGAACAACATGACTAAGAAAAAACAAAAATTAAGAAAAAAGTTAACATTTTACCATTAAAAGTTAAAGAATACATCAATAAAACCAAACAAGAATATAAGAAATAATGATAACATAAATAAATGATAATATTAAAGTAATAAAGATCTATTAAATGAAACAAAAGTACAATTAGTACAATATAATTAAATGAGTTGAACAATAAATTTAATACAATTGTGAAAATAATCATCATTATGTTAAAAGTAGATAATAAAATTACAGAATAATAAAAAAAAACAATTAACAACAAATAAAATAATTAATTAAGAAATAAAATACAATTTATTCTTAAACATAATGTATATTATATGATTACAAAAATATAAATTATATTGTATTAGATATAATTATGAATAAATTGATAAAATTAAGAGATAAAAAGAGAAAGAAATATTGAAATTCGTTATAAATATCACTAGAAATTATATTCTAATATATTAAATATGATTAGATTAATCATTGATTATTTTACATTTTAGAACATAAAATAATTGAATGTTCTTAACGAAATAAGAATAAATGAATAAAAAGATACAAAAGAAATACAAATAAAATGAAATTTTAAAAGAATAATAACTATGTTTTGTTCAAATAATGCTACACTTAATTACTTTCAATTTATTAATTATTAATAGAGAATTAGATGTTTAAATTAACAGTATTATTTCTTGTTAAACAATGATGATAATGTTAAAAAGGAAATGATAATAAATACATTTAAAGAAGATTTAATTAATAACCTTACAATAATATCATTTAATAAAACAACGTATATTAATTAATCAAAAAAAAAATAATAGAAATTGAAAGTGCTTTTATTTTATTATTATAAATCTGATTTCTTTATTGTTAAATTAATGTCATTTCTTATTATTTTGTTTTTATATTATTCTTATTCTTATTAATTCATTACAAACCATTCTTTCACTGATGTAATGCTATTGAAATCTTTTATCATCAAAAACAATAAGGAATCTTCATTTTAATGGTTAAATCATCTTCTGAATAATAAACAATTATTAGACTTAACTTCAACAATTAAAGAATAATTATACTTTAAAAGATAGAAAAAGTAAAAAGAAAAAAGAAAAGAAGATGAAAAAGGAAAATTGATGAAACAAGAAAACAAGATAGAGAAATACCAAAAGGAGACATATGACGAAAAGACACAAGAAATATTAAAGAGGTTAGAAGAGAAATATCCATTTTTGAACTTTTTCTTTAAGAATATACCAGAAATGACAGTTGAATCAATTAGAAAAACAAGAAATAGGATGATCATTGGAGGAATTTTTGGGATGGCTATGGTCATTTTCATTAGTGTATTAATGATTCATTCTTTAATGACATTTGAAGATGATCCAAACAAAACATTTGTAGAAAATCTAGGGTATGTCTACTACTACACACTTTGTATAGGATATTTCATTCCAACATATCACATTATGTCGCTATTCATTAATGTTGCATGGATATATTTCAAATTTAATTGAGGAGTTTGATTGAAAAAGGTTGAAGAAATGAAAAAGAAACTTAAAAAGAAATAAAGAGATGAGTGAAACAGATACAACAGAAGCAGAAGAAATTATAAAAGGAAGGAATCAAGAAGAACAAAATAATGAAAATAAACAAAATAATGCAATGATATATCTAGTTATTAAAGAAGGATATAAAGTTACCATTAGAAGAAATAAGAAAGAGAATTCATTTCATAAATGTATAATGATTGAAAACGAAGAAGAAAAAATTGATGGGAATGGACTTCAAGAATTAGGAAGAGATATTGATGAAATGATTAAAATGAAAATTAATAAAGAAGGAAATGATAAAGAAATTATTCTTGAACCTAAAGATATTTTTGATGATGGAAAAGGATTTGAAAGAGAAAAATTAGGTGATTCTGATAAAAAAGATTTACCATCACCTTTTACTTAAACTATTTAAATAACTAATTATATGTTAATTCTAATTCATTCAATTAATCGTTTAACGTATGTATCAAAGATTGTTCTACATCTACTAGTACATCCTAATAATAATTCTGGTGAAATAACTGATTCACCTCCATGGATGTGAATATGATTAATTTCTGTTTCTGTGAGAATAAATGATAAATATGCTGTTGTTTTTGTTCCATTTTCCATAAAGAAACTGAATGGAATTGGATGATAATTGAAATGGAGTTGATATTTCTTTGTTTTATCATATGAACATAATCCATCCAATCCAATTTTCATTTCTTGCAACTCAACTACTTCTTTTAATCTTCTTTTTTTTAGCTTTTATCATTTTTTATTAAACAAACGTGTAAGTAATGCTGTGATACTTGCTAAAATTGCTACATCAAAAACTGATCCATCGTCATCAATAATATAATTAACTAAACGAATCTTTTGGTAAAAACTTGTTTCTTTGTCTTCTGTACTAACTATAAATTTTTCTCGATTCCCAAATAGATCTTTGTCATTCAATACTTCTTCTATCCACTTCTGAATACTCTCAATCATAGCTGATTTATCTTCATTTAATCCACTTCTTTTTATTTCGACCTCAATGTGTTGTGGTTCTTTTCCATCTTGAATCATTTGAACTATCTCAGTACTAATCCCACAAACTACTTGTGTGTTTCCAATTCTATATGAAGCACTAGATTGGAGGTTGTGAATGACGTTCTTCTTAATAATGTGTTCTTTCCCTTTTGTTGTGAACACTAACTTCGACATTTCTTTCAATTTTTTAGTTTTTCTTTTAATCATTTCCACTTTTTCTTCTTTTAATCTCTCTTTCTTTTATTCTTCTTTATTATCTTTTTTCTTTTCTTCTCTTCCTTTTTCTACTAACCACCCTCCCTTTATTCATTCCTCTTTTCTCTTTGTTGTTGTTTGTTGTCTTTAATTATGCAACACAAAATTGAGTTATTGGTGTTAAATTGAGTTTGCCTTTTATGGTTTGGTAGAATCATAACTATTTTGTGTGAAGAGAATAAAGAAAATAAAGAGGGGTTTGTATTATAATTTTACTTTCTGAAAGCAAAAAATACTTCAATGAGTACAGGAAAAACTTTTCTTAATTTTTAAACAATAAGAGAAAAAAGAAATCAGTTTTGATAATTAATTATGTACTTTTTTGTAAAACCACTCAAATAATTTTTAAAACTAATACCTTAATAAAGTGATTAAAGAGAGATAAGATAAATGTTTTGGTGTAGGGAGTACAAACAGTCTAGTAAAATGCATGCCCAAATATAACAAGTATTGTGTTAGAAAGGGTCCAGAAAGAAAGGTTTATCAATTTAACTAAAAAACGTTATTATCTTATCCCTTCAAAAGAATAAAAAAAAAAAAGAACTAAAATGGAGAGTAAAACGAACAAATAAAGAAAGACAAAGAAGTATAATAACAATGTTAAAAAAAAATAAATTTTTTTAATATTTATTAATATTATTAAATAATTTATTTCAAAAATAAATAATGAAACTTATACAAATTATTAAAGAATTAATAATTCATGAATATTTTCAAATTCATTTTGTTTTTTGTATGAACGAATAAAATAATAATTTAAAATTATAAAAAATAAAAAAACTAAATATTAAAAGTAAAGAATAAAAAGGGATGAAACTCTTTGCTATTATTTTCTTTATTGCATTTAGTTCTTCTTTTAAGTGTGAGACAATTGACATAACAATTCCTGATTCATTTATTGACGATCGTTATTGTGATTGTCCTGATGGTTCTGATGAAAAAAATACAGGGGTGTGTGAAGGAAGTATGTTCATATGCCAAAACAAAGGTGCTGATGCTGTAGAGATAGAAAGTAGATTTGTAGGAGATAGTATTTGTGATTGTTGTGATGGATCAGATGAAAGAGAAGGGTTGTGTCCGAACGTTTGTAAACAACAAACACAAAAAAAGATTGATGAAGTTGATAATGAAATTAAACGAATGGAAGAACTAATTCAATTAAAAGAGAAATTTTCAATAGAGGGGAAAAAACTTAGAAAAGAGTTAAGTAAAGAAATTAAAAAAAATGAAGCAGAGTTAAAAGAAGTGAAAGAAGAATTAAAAATTGGAGATTTTGACAATATTATCAAAGAACAAAAAAGAAAAAGAAATGACTTCAATGCAGATTATCAAGAACGATACAACAGTTTAAAAAGTAAAATTATTGAAGAAGTAAGTGGAGAAACAAGTGAAGAAGTATTAGAAGAGAAGATAAAAGAATATGGATTTGTTAGTCCAAATGAAGAAGAAGTTAATGTTACATCTGTTGAAGTAAAAAAAGAAGAAAATGAAAAGTCAAAAGAAGAAATCAAAGAAGAACAACGTAAATTAAAATTATTAATAAAAGAAGAAGAAACAAAATTTAAAAAAGAAGATAAAAAATTGGAAAAAGAAATTAAAGAATTAGAAGAAAAACAAAAAGAATTAGAAAATAAGAAAGAAGTAATTGAAAGAAAAGTATGGGAATTTAATGAAAAAAGTAAAGTTAACATAAAACAAAATAATTATTGTAATGATTATTTCTTCTTAAATGAATATTCTAAAGATAATTTTAAATTATATTATGGATTTAATATTACTCAAAATAATAATATTAATGTTGGTTCTTTCGCAGGATGGAATACTTCTGATATTCAATTTTATTCTAATGGAACTACTTGTGAAATTAATGAACAGACTATTCCAAGAAAGGCAGAAGTTCATTTTGTTTGTGGGGAAACACCAAGTATCATTTCAACTGATGAACCAAGTACTTGCGAATATGTTTTGGTTTTACAAACTCCATGTGCATGTAGTAAAAAACTATTAAAAAGTCTTCATGAAAAAAGAAAACAATTAGAAGAAAAATTACACTAATTTTAAGTAGATTATTCTTTATTAATAATTTTATTTTTATTGAAGAAACGTTATATGACAAATTGTAGGAATGAGAGAGACACTTTGTAAAAGAATGTAAAAAGAACAAATGATATTCTTTAATATACTTTGATAATAAGAACTCAAAAACGATTGTGAAGAAACAATTATAGAATTAAGAGTTTAAAAAAAAACGATAAAGAACTTAAAAAGAAATTATATTTTGGTAAAATGATATGTGCAATATTTTTCATGAATGCGAAGGGTGACCTTCTCATCTCAAGAATCTATCGAGATGATGTGATGAAAGGAGTAGCTTCTGCATTTAGGTCATATGTATTAACAGAAAAAAATGTATTACCAGTTAAGATTGTTGGGTCAACTGTATTTTATCATATTAGAGTTAATTCATTATATGTTGTTGCATTAGCAAGAAGTAATAATAATGCTGCTGTTGTATTTGAAGTGTTACATAAAATTGTTGAAGTATTCCAAGCTTATTTCACTACTATTGACGAAAACACTATTAAGAGTCAATATGTTTTGATTTATGAATTACTTGATGAAATTCTTGATTTTGGTTATCCACAATTTTGTACTAAAGATGAGTTGCAATCACTTATTACATTTGGTAAAGCTAAAACTGTTCAAAGAGGAAATATTGCTATCCAAGCTACAGGTCAAATTCCATGGAGATCACCTGATATCTTCTATAAGAAGAATCAATTATTCCTTGATGTTATTGAGAGTGTTAATTTAACAGTATCTGCTAAAGGAACTATTCTTTCTAATGATGTCAATGGAGTTATTAAAATGAGAACACAATTATCTGGAATGCCAGATTGTTCACTTGGTATGAATGATAAAGCATTATTACTTGGAGATTCAGCACAAAAGAAATCAATTCAATTAGCTGATGTTACTTTCCATCAATGTGTTAGACTAACTCGTTTTGATCAAGATAGAAGTATTAATTTCATTCCACCAGATGGAGATTTTGATTTAATGAAATACAGAACAACTGATAATATCTCACAACAATTTAGATTATTACACAATATTAAAGAATCTTCTAAAACACATTTATCACTTGATATTAATGTTCGTGCATTATTCTCTGAATTACAATATGGTGAAAATGTTCGTATTAAAATTCCAGTTCCAAAGAATGCTGCTCTTTGTAAGACTCGTTGTACAGCTGGAAGTGCTAAGTATCATCCAGAACATGCAGCTATTTTATGGAGAATTTCCAGATTTAATGGAAAGACACAACAAACTATTACTGTTGATGTTGATTTAGTCCAAACTACTCAATCACAAAGATGGGATAAACCACCAATTTTAATGGATTTTGTTATTCCAGCATTAACTGCAACTGGTTTACAAATTCGTTATTTGAAAATTGCTTCAGATTATAAAACTATTAAGTGGGTAAGATATATTACAAAAGCAGGTGCCATTCAATACCGTCTTTGAATTAAATCAAAAAATGTTTAGTTCCCTTTTGTTTTAAAAGATGAAGCTCTTCATAAAATAGTATTGTGTGATAATAAAACGAGTTTAATAAAAAGTTATTAATTTATCAATCCTTTTAGAAAAATATTCTTTTAATAAAAATATAAAAATTATTATTTAATCCCTTTTTAAACAAAAATATTAAAAAGTATAAAAAAGAAAAATACTTTTAAATGTTTCATTAATTGAATTTATTAAAGTTTATAAAAATAAAAAAATACTAAAAAAATAACAAAATTCTATTGAAAAAGTATTGAAAAACAAGTAGTCAAATAACCCACTCAGAAATAAAAACATGCCATCATGATTAAAATGACTCTCAGACAAGTTATTTCATCACTGTGGATTTGAATTAAAAATTGAAAGTAAAAAGTTTAAATAGTTCGAGGGTTGAAAGACATAAACTATTTTTAATAAAAAAAAATAATTTATATATAGTATAAACTATTGATTATAATAAGAATATCATAAAATACAATAAAAGAGAATAACAAAATAAATTAAATGATTGCTCTACTATCGTACTTGATTGCTTCACGTTTACATGAACGAATTGTTCCACTAACGTGAACAACATTCATTTTAAATGGAAAAGGTAAACGTTCTGAACCAAAGTATTTCATTGTTGTTTTAATCTAAGTAATGAATATTAAATTTATATTATTATTGTATTAACAAACCATATCAAGTCGTTCAAACCTACATTTTATTATAACTATTCCTGTTTTTAACCAATTTGTATAAATTATTCCAGTTTTCAAACAACAACCTGCACCAAAAATTCCATATAATTGTCTAACACCAGCAACAATTAAGGACTGAAACTCTCCTTTTGCAATATCAATTGGTTCACCAATTCCTGAAGGAACAGCATGAATCAATAAATATCTACTTTTCACTCGTACCATATTTATACTTTATTTTTTGAGTCTTTTTCTTTTTTCTTTCAACTAATTCTTTATCATATTACGTTATATATAACGAAAATAAATTACTTTTTTTAATTAAAAAGAAATTTAATTAAGTGTTAAAAGAATCTATGTCTAAAATAAATTACTTTTTTTTAAAAAAAAAAAAAGAAACTTTTTTAGGTTTTGCCTATTTTCAATACAAATGGAAACAATCACAATTGCTTATTATAGGAAAATATTTTTGGTTCAAAATATAATTTATGCACTAATTTCTCTTTGTTTCCATGAGAGGGTGTGTAGTGTTCTTTAGAATTTATTAAAAAAATTTTAAGCTACAAACAGAAAGAAATAGGGTCATATTTGTTTTTCTATAGGTAAGTTAATAAAACATAAATAAAAAAAAAAATACAAAAATTTTATAAAATTTGAAACAATATCATAAGATATAAATATATTTTTAAAAGAAAGAAGCAAAAGAAAGGACACTTTATAATTTATTATAAAATTATTAAAAATTATAGTATAGAATAATTGTTTCAAAAATAATCCTGATCTTAAAATAATTGTGAAAGTTGATAAGAGGATCTTCTAAATTTACAGAGAATTTTTAAATAGTGATGACCACAGAGAAAGTTTGTTTTTTAATTGGAAATTTATGGTCATAATCACTTGTAATCTACATTTTATACGAATATTTATTTTATTATTAGAGAGATGCAGACACCCTAATTAAAGTTGTTGTTGTAGGTGATGGAACAGTTGGAAAGACATGTTTGTTAATCAGTTATACGAAGAACTCATTCCCTAAAAAATATCTTCCAACTGTATTTGATAATTATCTTGCAAAAGTTCAATATAAAAAGCAAGAAGTGATGATGGAATTATGGGATACAGCTGGTCAAGAAGAATTTGATCGTATAAGACCCTTATCTTATAAAGATACTGACATATTTTTATTATGTTTTGCAGTGGACAATGATCGTTCAATTAAAAATATTACATCAAAGGTTTGTTTTTAATTCTTTATGTGACATTGTTTTTTAAAGTGAGTCATTAAATTCTTACACTTCTGTAGTGGGTACCTGAAGTAAAACATCATTGCTCTAGCGGTAAACTTTTAGTTGTTGGAACAAAAGCTGATTTGAGAAATAGTGCAGAACATCAATTAAAATTACAGCAAAAAGGAGAGTCATTTGTTTCAGCTGCTGAAGGCCAAGAATTAGCTGAAAAAATTGGAGCTGTTGGTTATTGTGAATGTTCTGCTTTAACACAAGAAGGTCTTCACGATGTTTTCAATAAAGTTATTGAATCTACATTGAATGTTAAAGATGTTAAGGAAAGGAAAATGTGTTGCTTGCTTTAAATGAATTTCAATTTGGTTTTTTCTCTCTTTTGTTTTATCATAATAGCAAAAATAAAAAAGTTTAATAAAATTGTAAAATGTTTTTTTTTTTTTCTAAATAATGTACAAAGACAATATTTTTAAAAATTTAATAAAGAAAAAGAAGTTAAGACCAATTAAAAAAAAATGAATAAAATTTTATTATTTAGCTACGTAATATTTTGCATGAAATTGAATTGAAGTTATTTTCTTTAATTGTTCTAATGCATCTTCAATTGATATAACTTTATTTTTTGTTGCATCACTTAATATTTCAATACAGTCATCTATAGCAATACATTGTGAAACTGATTTCATTCTGTTTTGTTCATCATCAGTTATTTTCTGTAATAACATTTGTTGTAGTTCAAAATTTTCACATGAATTCTTTTCAATCCAGCAACTTATCTCATTAATAGCTTTTTTTGTTTTATTGATTTTGTTTTGAAGTTTTTCTTTCTGAATAATTTCATTTTCTTTTTTTCTTCTTTCTTTTTCTTCGTTAGGAAATATTTTGTTATCTTCTTCTTTCTTTTTGTCATCTTTGTATTTCATTAATCTATTAGTTTCTTCTTCACTTTTTAAATGACTAGGGTTTAGTTTATTGTCTGCTTCTAATTGAGTCATACTGTGGCTAGGCATAGAAACGAATTGTGAAGGGGTTGGTTTACTGATAGAGTTATAATCAACCAAATATGGATCATCTCCAGTTTTCTTAATATATCCATTCACTTGAACCCTTTGTTCTTGAGATTGAAGTGGGTATGCTGTTATTGGATTAGTTGGGCTTGTTGTTGAGAATGAACTATAATATATTGGTTGTTGTGAGTCTGAGAAAGAAGGAGAAAAAGGAGGATTTATTGAAGAAAAAGAAGTGCTTTGAACTACTTCAGCAGGTACTGATGACTTGATTGGAGTTGTATTAAATGATTGACATTGAGGTTGAACAGAAGGATTAATTAGGGTTAAATGATTTTGGTAGTCATAACTAGACGACGACTGTAATGAAGGATTAAATGAATGCATTTCTTGTGAGTAAGGAAGTTTATTTGTTACAGGTTGTTGATAAGAAGAATTGGATTGGTACTGGTGTTGTGGTTGGAGGGGGATATTTCTTGGTTGGCAATAAGGAGAGTTTGAATAACTTGAATTAAAAATTTGAGACGGTGTTAATGAACAAGGTTTTATAAAATTATTATATAGATTAGGTTGAATTGAATTTGTTGAAGTAGTAATAGGATATCTTTGAGTATTAGTTACAAGATTATTTTGTGTTTGTCTAACTGGAGGAATTGTACCAAATGATTTAGCTAAACTATCTAATACCATTAAAAGATCACTTGAAGGATTCCACTCATTACTAACTTTCCTAATAATACCATTTTCATCTACTTCAGGATGGTTTTTAACAATTTCCATTCCTTCACTAATATTACAAATCATTTCAGGTGCTGAAATCGGATATTCATAAGTAAATCCAATTAATAAAGGAATACCAAATTTTTTTCCATTAAATAAAATTGGGAGAAAACCAGTTAAGACTAATAATTGGTTTCCACTAATCCTTGATGTTAATGTACCAAATCTGAATTTAGGATATTTAGAAAGAATTGACCGAATATCTTGTTCAATTGAATCAAAATCTTCATAATATTTTTTTATTGGACCAATAATATTTTTTATGTCGTTTATAGATTGCATTAATTAAAATTATCAATATTTTAAGTTCTTTTTAATTTCTCTCATTAAGTTAGAGTAAAATATCACCTTCTTATTTAGTGCTCATTTCATCATTATAGTTTTTTAAAAAATTATATAAAAAAACAAAAATATAACTATAACTATCAATTAAAAAATTTAATGAAGTCCAACATTAGCAAATACTCCTTTAATTTCATTGAAAACTTCATCTGGTCCTCCAAGATGATCAACAACAAAATATGGAAGATTTTTAGCTTTAATAGCCTTAATCATTTCATCATGTTGAGCATGATAAACAGCAAGTCTTTTGGCAGCAGCCTCAGTATTATCATCAGCTCTTCCAGATGTTTTTCCTCTTGAAACAATTCTTTGTATAAGAATTTCATCAGGAATTTCTAAATTAATTACACAAATCTTAGTTTCAGCAGTGGCTTCTTTCAAAAGAGCTTCAAGTTGTGAAACAGCACGTGGATATCCATCAAATACAATAACTTCTTTTTCATTTTTGGCTATAAAATTATTAACCATATTACAAATAATTTCATCAGAAACAAGTTGACCATTGCGAATAATGTCTTCAACTTTTAATCCAATTTCTGTTTTATTTTTAATTTCAGCTCTTAACAAATCACCTGTTGAAATATGGGCAGATGAATTAAGGTGCTTTTCAATATTAGCACATTGAGTACCTTTTCCAGCACCTGGTCCACCTAACATAATGAGGAATACTTTAGCCATTTCTATTAATTTAAATTTATTGTTCTTTTAGTAGTTTTTCTTTAAATATTCTCTTCTTTTCTTATAATAAGAAATCTTTTTATTTTATTGGCTATTTTCACTTTGTAAATTTCTTCCACGTCAGATAGAAATTGAAAATAAAAAATTTCTTTAAAAAACCCTTGTTTTTCTTCTTTGTTTCATTGTTTTTTGTTTTTTTTTTTTAAGTCAGTTAAAAGGTAAATTTTGAAGCATTTCTATTGTTAAAATAAAATTAGTTGTTAGTGTTATTCATGACAAAATATTTCTTTTAAATCAGATACAGGTTATTTGAAACATGAAATATCTAAAAACAATTACCAATTAACACAGAAATATTGAATCAATATTTCATTTTATAAATAAAAAATTGTAGCACTTTTTCTTTTAGAAAGATTCAAATTATTTTGGTGAAACGAAATTTATTTTGAGGGGTTTTACAATTTGGTTTGAATAGTTTTTTAAGAATATACAACATAATTTTTAGAAGAATTCGAAACTCAAAACAAACAAAATGGAGACACCCAACCTAATCACCCCTCGGCCATTCCTTACTATAATTCAAAGTCCATTACCATTTATTGTTGACAATAGTAAAATTTCTTCAAATTTTATTACTTCTAAATCTTGTACTTCTTTAGTTGTTTCATCAAATTTTGGTGAATTAAGTATTCCTGATTTAATGGTTATAGCATTGCAATTAAACCAACAAACAACAAAAGTTTTTCTTAGTGTTAATAAAAAATGTAAACAAGCCGTTTCACGTCTTAAAATCAATTCTTTTAATGCTCCATTAAATGCATTAAAAAAATTTTTTCCAGGAATGGAAACTTTGAGTTTGATTAATCCAACAGAAATACCAAAGTCAAAATATCGTTATAAAATTTATTCATCATCACCAGAATTATTTAAAATGATTTCTTCTTTAGAAAAGTATATAACATCATTACATCTTATTGTTCAACAAAACTCATCTTTACCATTAAAAAAGTTAAAAAGTCTTATTAAATTAACGTTAGATTTTACTAAAGTATCATTACAACAATTAGAATCTCCTTTATTACGTGAAGCTCGATTATTTCGTTCACCATTTATCAAATCTTTTCATATATATTGTCAACAAAAAGATATTATATCAGCACAAAATATTATTGAAGTTTTTAACAGACACTTACCAATTAAAATAATTCTTATTGTTGAAGGACTTACTTTTTATCAGAAAGGTATTGATGCAGTTATTGATAATGATTTATTAGAATTAAAAAATGTTTGTGTGTTACCTAATGGATCTTATTATATAATAACTGCTAATGTGGTTGAAGAATTTAAGAAATACCTTCCTTTATCATTAAAAATAAAAGGTACTGATGACTGTGTTTTATTAGATTTATCTGGTTATGATTATTTAACTCATTTAACACTTGTTCAACAAAAATCAATAAAAAATTTATTGTTACCACAACAATTATATAGTTTAAAATTAGAAGATGCTTCTGATTCATTAGTAGATTATAAACGTTCTAATATAAAAGAACTTATTCTTTATAATTGTACAATCACTAAGCATTATTACTCTGAATCATTAAATAAACTCACTATATTACATTGTAATTCTGAATATTTAAAAATTCCTATCCCGATAGAAGGTCTTTCAATTTCTTATTGTAATAGTCTTAAAGAAATATGTATTCCTTCTTCATTGAAAAAACTTGGTTTAACTCATTGTATCAATTTAACTAAGATTAAAGGACTTACTCATTCTAATACTTTAGAACTTGAATTAACATATTGTCCTTTATTAAAAAAAATTCATATTCCTTCAAGTTTAAACAAACTTTCTATTACTTCTTGTGAAAAACTTAATCAAAATTTAGTGTTAAGAAATGTATTAATAGAAGAAATGAAAATTATATCTTCTCCAAGGTTTAAAGTTAGTGAAATACCTAATACATTAAGAAATTTACAAATACAAGACTATTGTGAAAAAGAAATTATATTACCAGAGTTTGTTACTGAGTTGAGACTATCTCATTGTGATAAACTAGAAGCTATCTATTTCCCTAGAGAATTAAAAATACTTCAAATTTATAAATGTCCATTAATATCTTTTGAAGGAATTGAAAATATATATATGAACACTTTGGAAGTAGAAGGAGTGCAACGAATAGAAAATGTTTTATTACCATTAGGATTAGTAAAAATAGCATTTATTGATTGTAAATATCTTAGACTATTAGATGGAATGGCTGACCTTACAACATTAAATGAATTAACAATCTCTTCATGTCCCCAACTAAATAATTTAGTATTACCAAAATTTATTACTAAACTCACTATCAATAAATGTAAAAATTTAACTTGTATTGATGGAATTGAAAAATTAGATATTCCATTTGATGAACTAATCAATCTTTATTATTTATTAGAACATCCTTTACTTCCTAATAATGTTACATCACTTCAACTTGATGGATGGAATTGTCTTTCATTATCAAATATTTTTAGTTTACATCTTGTTGATTTAACAATAAATAATTTCTCACATTTATCATCACTAACAATTCCTAATTCTTTAATAACACTTTCTTTATGTGGATGTAAATCACTTCAACAACTATCTTTTAAATCTCCTTTATTAAAGAAATTAACTATAAATTCATGTACTTCATTAAAGAATGTTTCATTTCCAATGACATTGACATACCTTGTTGTTATTGATTGTTTTGCACTTTCTTTCAATAAAATTAATACAATACCATTATATCATCTTGGAATAGAAAATATTACTTCTTTAAAAGGTTTAAAAATTCCAACAACACTTAAAATTTTACAAATAGCATTTTGTGATAGATTAAATGATATAAGCAATTTAAAGAAAATTGATTTAAAAGAAATAGCATTTTTATCATTATACTCTCTAAAGAAAATTACCTTTCCTACTACAATGACTAACTTAGTATTAGAAAATTGTGATAATTTAAATAAAATAAAAAATTTAAATAATTGTCCAATTCAAGAATTAAAATTAAGTGGATTAGATTCCATTAAATCTATTTCTTTTCCAACAACTTTAACCAAATTGAATATTAATTTATGTGAAGAAGTTAGTAATTTAGATAATTTATATAAATGTAATATTTCCGAGTTATCAATATTTAAATGCAATAAACTATCATTATTAAATCTACCACAATGTATCACTCGATTACAAATTGATTCTTGTAATTCTATTCATGAATTAAACTTAGAAAATTATAAAATTTTTGAATTAGAATTAACTACTTGTGAACAATTAACTAAAATTATTTTCTCAACTACTATTATTTCATTATCAGTTACAGGTTGTAATAATTTACTTGAAATAAGTAATTTAGAGTCATTAGATGTTCCATTAGATACTGTTTTTAATCTTATAATTAATCTTGCACATCCTATTCTTCCTCTATCATTTAATGATATTCAAACATTAAATGCTGTAACTGAAAATTTTATTGAAAATGCTTCTCAATCAATAAATTCATCATACACTCCTCAATTATCAAAAAATAAATCTAATAGATTTAACCAACCTTTGAATGTTTTGTATGACTCTCCTATTATATCACCACGTTCTCCTAGAAAATTTATTCCATGGGGTTTATCTCCTTCTCCAACTTTTAGTCGTTCACCAAGTCCTCATTCATTTAAAGTAGGAAGTCCTCGTACTCAAAAAATAAATTCTCCACGTTCATTTTATATACCTTCAGCATTATCACCAACACTAGATATAAATGATATGTTTACAATATCAAATTGGAAATGTCTTGATATCCAAAATTTAAATGTTTTCAGTATTGATGATCTTTATGTTTGTAATTGCATTAGACTAACAAAACTTGAACCTCCTCAGACTGTTACTAAATTAGTTATTGAAAATTGTACTTCTTTACAATACCTTTCATTAACACCCCATCTTATTGAATGTTCAATTCATTTCTGTTCTAGTATTAACCAGTTATATATTCCACAAACGTTAAATGAACTACATCTATTTCATTGTGAAGAAATAAATAAATTACAATCTTTTGAAAATGCAACAAAATTAATTAACTTTTCTGCAAAATACTGTAATCAACTTCGAACTTTAATTATTCCAAATGGATTAAAAAAATTTCAAATTGAATGTTGTGATCGGTTAGATGAAATTATTAATATTGAAAATAGTCTTATTGAAGAATTGGTAATTATTGAATGTGATAGTCTAGAAAATATAACATTTCCATCGACTTTAAATAAACTCACTATTGAAAAATGTTATTCTTTAAATAAACTTCCCAATCTTCAAAAAATTTGTCCACAACTTACAAGAAGTATGTGTAGTATTTATAACTAATTCATGTCATATCTTCTTTTTATATTCAGTGCTTGAATTACTGAAATTATTTAAATAATAAGGATACTCTAAAATTATTATCTCTAATAACTTATTGAAATTCATTCTTTTTTTATATTCTAATTTTGAATTACTTAAAAAATATAATTTCAAGATTCTTATTTTAAATAAATTTTATAATATTTTACAATTTTACAATATTCTCATCATTGTTTTATAATACAATTCTAAAAATATTTTATTGGGATAACAAAATAAATAACAGTTTTTTTAAATAAACTCATTAAAATAAATTAAATATTATTAAATTAAACTATACCATCTTTTTTTCCTAAAAATTCTACATCAATAATTTCTAATCCTTTTTTATTTTTTATTAAACATCATTGAAAAATTTTAAACTTATTAAATAATTATTAGTTCGTATTATGGAACCACCACAACAATTATTTCAATCATACATTGTTCAAAATAACAAATGCCAACAACTCTTAAATGAAACCCAAAATGAGATTCAATACTTCTATAGATCTCTTAGAGATGAGACTTTTATTAAAAAAGAGAAAGAAGACTATGATACTTCAATTAAAAGAGGAGAAAGTATTCTTGACAGGTTTGATGAAACATTCAGAAGAATTGAGTTGATTAGAAATAAAGGGACTACAGCATTAGAAGAATTACAACTAACAAAAAATACATTAAATTATCTTATTCATGAGATTGATAGAAAAGAATTGGAATTTATTGAAAAGAATAACCATATAGTTAATAAGGTTATTGGTTTAGTAAAAGAAAAATATCAAAAACAAAATGAGCTAATAAAGAGCAAAATGGATAGTGAAATTAATAGTTTAAATGAAATGAAAAAAGACTATTCTAAAGCTCAAAACAAAGTCAATTTTAACACAATGATTGACGAAGAATTAAAAAATGAGCAAAAGAGATTAAATGAGCTTCATAAAATAGTTTACAGAAAACAAATTGAACAAAACAGAACTGTTGATGAAGAGATGGAACAAATTGAAAGTTGGGCAGGAAAAAAACTTGGAGATATCATTTTTGATTCAAACAGACATGATTGGGGAAGCCTGAGTCAATTTAGTGATATAGTTAAAAATCGTTCAAATTACATTTTATTAATACAAGACACTAATGGGAATAAATTTGGTGGTTGTTTCTATAAAACTATGAATGCTATTTCTTCTTTCATTTATGACCCAAATTCATTTTTATTTTCAATAAGGTCAAATGGTAGACTACCTGACATGATGAAATTTAGTATCAAAGACACTAACAATTCTATAAAAGTATACAGTGATAAGACCACTTGGTTATTATCAATTGGGAATGGAGGACCTGGACAACAAGACGATATTTGTATTATGAAAAAAGGATTTGAAGATAAAGAGCAACATAGTGGATGTAAACAAAGTTCATACGATTATAGGGGTTATCAGAATGCATTATGCGGATCAAATAATTTTGATGTTTTAGAGTTTAAAGTGATTCAAATGAAATAAAAAATTACTAACTGAATACTTAGAAATACTTTTTGTGTTTATTACCATAGCTCAAATTTTTATTCTCCATACCTATTGAATTTTAAAACAAATGATAAAAACAATAAATTATTTATACATTTAAACTAACAAAGATATTTCAAAGAATAGTTCTATTATTCCTTAAATTTAAACAAGTTATTATTTGATATTTTTCTGAGAATTAAAAAATAATAACTTTGTTATTTTTTTATAAATAATTTGTTTTATTTAAAATGAATCAATTAAACTATCTTTTCTTAAACTCCTCCTCGCGTTCCCCATGACACATCATCAAAATTACACACTGCATAAATTGGAATAATGACATACATCATAGGTGTTAAAAGGAACCACACAACTGGAGCAACAACATTAAATATAGAAAACCATTGACCATGAATGATTGCAGCAAACACAATAATAAACACCCACGACAACATAACTGAAAGTTCAAGCCAGTGCTTATCAAAGAACCCATAAATATTTTGAATAACTCCTACAATCATAAGAAAAACTAAAAACCCACCAATAATGGTTGATGCTTGGAACCAATATTCCATATCTTCAATCTTACTTGTTAAACTAAATGTTATAAGCAGTGCTAACCAGAGAACAAGAACTCCAATGCAAATAGCTTTATTTACTCCACAATCAGCAAAGATTTGAATAAACAACATAACAACAGCACAAGGAAGCATAAAAGAACTTAACAATTCAATAAACAAAGATACTAACAAAGGAAGAACTACTGGTCTTCTTATTCTTTGTAACAAAATACCCATATTGACAATTGTAGAATTAATCCATCTTCTTCTTTGTTTAATAAGTCCAACTAAAGTAAATGGCGCATCAGTATGTGCAACAGCCTTGGTTACATAACCTGTATCCCAACCTTTTTCTACTAAGAGTGTAGTTAATGTTCTATCTTCTCCAAGATCTAGTTGATTCTTTTCCCATATAGAAGTAGAGGTAGCTAAATAATCGTTTAATACTGTTTCCATAGCTTGTGGTCGAATCATAGAAAAAGCACCTGGTAAACAAGTAACCATTCCAAACCAATTTTCAAATGTTTTAGCTAAAAATTGATTTGATTTGTACTCAAAGTATTGACACATTGTTAATGGATTTTTGTACCAATGAGCAACTTCAATTTCTCCACAAACACCTCCCATAGCTTCTCTTTTTAATAATCCATTATACATTTCCATTAAGCCCCTTTCATTTCCTTCCCATGCAAATTCAACGTCACTATCAACAAACATAATTGCTTTTGCTGTTTTACGAGTAATTCCTCTATCCATATAATCAAAGAAAACTTCATGAGAATGTCTTTTTCCTCCATTTTTCTTTTTCAGCAATACTATCCAATTCATTCCACTTTCAAGAATTCCTTCATACACAGCCATCCCATCTTCTAATATTCTTGGATCTCCTTTTCCATCTTTAAATCTAATAACACCATCATCATCTGCATAACTTTGGTCTCTTCCAACTCCAAGAAGTCTACAAATAATAAATGAAGCTGTTTCTAATTGTTGATAATCAATTTGCATATTTCTATCTCTTCTTCCATCAATAACGAAAATTAATTGACAATACTTTGGTTCAAATGGTAAAACACTAATTTCAAAACTTCTTATACCTCCTTCAACACCAGATGCGTCTTCATGATGAACTGTCAAACAGACACTAAGCAAAATAGGATGTTCGTGTTCAACACTTTGTCCACATTCTGTGCAATAATTTTGACCACCACAATCACATCCACAAGAAGGGCATTTGAACATTTCACTTGAAATATGCCATATCCGTTCTCCATCTTCTTCATCAATATCAGTTTTATTAATTGGTGGTGCACGGACATGAGGTTTACATTTTTGAAGTATAGATCCAAATAAAAATTTTGGAAGTGCTGAAAATATGATATAACATAAGAAAACTAACTGAACAGCAAGGGATGATGCGGTTTGAACGAACACAATAAAAATAACATTAATAGCAACGAAAATCCCAAACAATTTCATTTTTTCTCTGTACGCTTCATATTTATTTCCATCAATAATTTCTATAACAGGAGGTTGTTCTAAAGCTTTAGCAGTTTCTTTTGTTTCTTTCGTTAAATTAACTTCTTGATCATCAGGAAGTAGTGAAGGGAATTCTTCAATTTCCTCTCCTTGATTACTCATTATTAAGTTTATGACTATTCATTTCAATTTATATTCATTAGAACAATATATCTTTCTCAAAAACGAAAAGATCACTTTCCTTATCTTGGTGAGAAGTTTTTTCTTTTTTTTTTTAAATTTTATTATTTTATTTCAGAAAAACTTAAAAATTAAATCTTTAAAGAACAGTTTATGGTGTTTAATCTTTTTAGAATTAGTGCAGATTTGGTTCATCTCTTAAGTATATATTTCCTTTTAACAAAGATCATTAATCATAAAAATTGTATAGGTTTGTTTAAGTATTTTTAAATAGAAATAATATTTTTTTTTTAAAATAAACAATAATAACTCTTAGGAATTTCATTAAGATCACAAATATTATTCCTTATTGTATGGGTTACTAGATACTTAGACATTTTTTATAATTTTTATTCATTATATAATACTATTTTAAAAATTGTTTATTTAACAACTTCTGCATATACTATCTATTTAATTTCAAAACGTTTTAGAGCAACATATGATAAAATTCATGATACATTGAATGTATGGTATTTAATTGTTCCTTGTATTGTACTAGCATTTATTTTTACTGAAGACTATTCTATTACAGAAATTTGTTGGACGTTTTCTATTTTCCTTGAGGCAGTTGCTATTCTTCCACAAATCTTACTTCTTCGTTCAACTGGTGAAGTTGAAAATTTAAATTCTCAATACATTTTTTGTTTAGGTTTATATAGAGCACTTTATATTATTAATTGGATATACCGTTATGCAACAGAACCATCATATTGGAGTCCATTAACATGGATTTGTGGTTCTATTCAAACCTTGTTATATGTCGAATATTTCTACTATTATATTAAAAGTAGAGTCGAAGGAACTAAATTCGTTTTGCCATAATTGAAATTTTTAGGATTTCATATTATTATTTTTTTATGATTTATTTTGATTTACTGAATATAATAAAAACGAAATATACATCATTCATAACACTAACTCAATTTATCCAGCTACCTAATACATCAAGAATATTTTTTACTTCATTAGTATCTGAAAACACATATCTTGCTTTTAACTTTTTAATTATTTGTTGTGTGTATCGTGATATTTCTTGGTCTTCTTCAACTTCATTTTGGTCTGTCCATTCAACTTCTAATAACCTCTCGTTTTGTGGCACAATAACAGAGGGTTGTTGTTGAAATTGGTTTGAAAAGACACTTTCTCTTGGAACTTTTGGGATTGATGATATCTCGATCTCTTTATTTGTTTGTGATTGTTTTTCTTGAGCTCCACCTTCTAAGATATTTTTTTCAATTTTTTTTTCTGATGGTAGAACAAATATAGTTGTATCATCTTGTTTCTTTGCCAAAACTTGATGTTGTTTAGGGATAGGGAGTGGTGGTTTTGGTTTCTTTTCTTCAATAATTTTTTTGTCAGTGTCATTCCATCCACACATTTCAGAAAGTTGAAGATAAGTGAATGGACAAGGTAATTTTTCTTTCTTTCCAAATGCTGAAGATGATGCAATTAACTTAGTATTATTTGAAGGATAATTATAATTAACTAAATTATGAAATTCTTCGTAGATTGGTTTTATTTCTTGATCTTCATTAACCCATAAAGGAATAAAAGGATGATCAACACTAAATAATTCTATTTGACATTTATTTCCCAATTCAGCAAGTTGAGAATCATAGACATTACCTTTAATTTTATGAATATTCTTTTTCATTGTATGAAAAGGAATTAATAATTTAATTTGAGGGTATTGTACATGTAAAAATATTTGTTCAATAACTTTTTGTGCATCAAGATTAAAAGGGAACATAGTGCGATAAATTAAATCAATAACTGATAATTTTCTTCCAGAAAAAATATCTTTAAAATAACGTTCTAAACGAGAATTAGGAGGAAGATTTAATTTTTCATCCATCATTTTAGAAAATGATAATAATCTTTCTTCCAGTAGAAGATGTTTTTGGTTCTTTGACATAAAGACTTAAAATCTTTTAATTCAAAAAGGGTTTAAAAAAATTAGTGAATAAAAAATGTCTTTATTTAAGCATAAAGGGTTGAAAAAGAATAAGACACTGATGGAAGTGAAAGATCCTTTAGTGGAGTTGATGATTCTAGAAATGACAATAATTGATTAACTTGTTGTTTTTCTTGTTCTGCAATTAAAGAAATACAAGAGAGATGACTAAATTCACACTAAATAAATTAATATTAATCTTTAAATTATTTTTTTGTTATTAAGTAATTTAAAAATTAACAAACAAAAGTAAATAAAGCAGCACTTGATTTAGGTAATGTATAAGGTAGAAATAATTCAGGAAAATTTGGTTTAATTTCTACGAATGAAGTTGATAATTGAGAAATAGTTTTTATTGTATCAACAATATCAATAGTAATTACTTTAGTAAATTGAAATACTGAATATAAAATATTAACTAAAGAAGTAGTATGTTCAATGGGAATTGATGATCCAGAAAATAAACAAATAGAATCATAGCATGAAATAAAACATGGATAATTATCAAAAAAGTATTGTTTTTTTTCAAGGTGTTTTTCATTAACAATACTTTGAAAATATTCAATTGGTAATGAAAGTAATAATTCTTTCTTTTCACCTTCTAATTTAGGTTGAAATATTCCTTTAATAGGTGATATTTCAACTCCAAATATATAATCTTCTGAATCATAATGACGTTCAGGAATTATATTTTCTTGACGTTGTAATAATGGATGGATCATATTAATGACAGTTTTATTAATTCTTTTTTAGTTCAAATAATAAAAGATCAAATACTTCAATAATTATTTAATTTTACTACTATTACTACTGCTCCAAGTTAAAGGATCCATAGGAAGAAATGAATAAACCAAAGGAAGGTCAATATTGTATAACATTATTTCTTTCCAATTATTATAAAATCCCCTATTATAATTTAATACTTTTTTATTTTCAGATAACAAAGCAATCAATTCAATTGTTGTATAATTATTATAAATTAAATAGAAATAATAAATAAGATATAATCCCATTGATACTGTAATTGCTACTGATACTCCAAAAATACAACAACAACTTGCTACTGAAATTAAAGGAATATTTTTCTAATTCTATTAATCTATGTTTATTTCAATTTATTTTTGTTATAATAACAAACAAATAAAGTATTATAATACAAATAACTAATCATCCCAATAAGATAAATAGACCCTATAAAAAAATATATAATGGTGTTAATAAATAATCGTATTGTATAATCTCCTATACAATTACAAATAAGTAAACAATGATGGTCATATCTTCCTATACATTGTTTACATGTAGAACAATGGTGAGTTCTTAATGGTTTAGATTTTTTACAATACTCACAATGTCTTTCACCATACTGTTCAATATATTTAGGAAATAATTGATTGTATAATAATAAATTTTTTGAAGGTACAGAAATAATACACTTAATATAAAAATAAAGTAATGAATAAATAACATAACAATGAAAAATAACATGGACTGTTTTAATAAAAAAGTTTATCTGATATAATGGAAACACAAATAAATAAAATAATATTATTACTCCACAAATACTTCCTATTGTAATAATAATAATAAATGCATTAATATATTTTTGTTGAGTTGAAGATAATGGCATTTAGTTTTTATTTATAATAAATAGTTTTTTTTATGATAAAATCTAGTTTTTGTTCTTTTCGTTCCTAAATAAAAGGATCTGATTTACTAACTGTATATGGACCAACAAGAAACAATTCAAACTAATTACTCAAGAGTTTCTAATGATGGATTAGAAGACACTCTAAATTATTTTAATAAAGATATGTTTAATGAACAAATTGATTTAAAAACATTTATAGGAAATACAACTTCATATTCTGTTCCAACGGATATTAAAAATCGATATGAAAATAATATTAGAACATATCTTAAAATTTATATAATTATTTATTTTATTATTTTTATTCCTTCTCTCTTTATTGCTTCATGGAAATTCTTTATAATAGAATCTCTTTTCAATATCTCATTGTTCTTTTCTATTCCTAAATTAAACCGTTCTTCTCTTTT